GGTCGCATCAGACGCGGCGGCGCTCAAAGGTAATAGTGATTTGTGTTACTGATTAGTACTTACTTGATGCTTTTCCGATCTCCTTCTCTGCTTGAATCGTGTGTTGCTTTTTAATTCATTATAAGTGCTTATTTGAAATCGTTAGTTTTGATTTTTTTCGTCGCTTCTTGAGAAACTTAGGGTTTGAAGAAATTCGGAATTGTTGATATACTTTGTGGGAACTGGGTTTTTGTTCTTGAAGCTGTTTTCATATTCCTGAAAGAAACCCTTTCTAGATCCAAGCTCAGTGTTTCTTATTTTGGATCAAAAAGTTTAAATTTGACAACTAAAAAGCTAAATAAATTTGTAGATTAAAACCTGTTAATTCTCAATGTTTAATAGATGAAGAAATTTAAAAGCTATACGTATGTTTACATTCTTGTATTGATGAGAAATGATATCAGCAAGAATATACTTTGATAGTTAGCAGAAAGCTTGAACATTTTGTTTTCTATTCATAGTTGCTTGACATTCCCTTGTATGTACTATATGTTTCGGAGTTTTGCTTATTTTGTTGTAATGACATATGGATTCCAAATTACAGGTGTTGGTCCTGGAAACCCAGCTCTCAATGTCAGCCTTACTTCGTGTGATCGCATACAAGTTTCTGGCTATTCCAGAACCGAATTAAGGAAATATGCCTACTCTTTTAGGCTTAACTTGGCTCCATTGGTGACTGTCCCTGAGAGGCTACACAGCAAAATTCAGGTTTGTGTTCACCGGTAAGTACACTAGCTTCTCTGTCCATGTTTTTATTAACTGATTTTCATTCTCTAGTTTTCAACATTCTACTATGCTCTTTCAGGAATGCTTCACTTGGAATGTGCCAGTGTGAGAAAGCTGATTGGAAAAATCTTCATAGGGGATCCTGGAGCTCTGTCATGTCCCCATATGATAATCAATACATTGATGTGAAATTCGGTGGTACATCGACGGGTTCAGTTACCATCTCCATTGCACAAGGTTGCTCCTTGTTCTCTCTCTTTCTTATTAGCAAGGTTGCTATCAATTTGATAGGAGTTGGTGCTCGGTTTTAGAAGGCTTTGATTTGTTCCCCTCCTATTCGATGTGGGCTTTTCTAAATACCAAATTCTTATCACTCTCTTTGTCTCTCATTTTCAATTTCAATAGGCTTTAGTGACTATTTTTTTTCACTTTCTGGTTATGTTTTACTTTCTGCAGATTTTCAGCAATGGCGTATTCTTTGCCTTGTGGCTGGACTGGTCGTGATCTTGGTAGCACCAGTTGTCAGCAGCTGGCTTCCATTTTACTATACCAGTTCTATGGCGGTTGGGGTTTTTCTCGTCGTGCTGATTATTATTTTCCAGGTAAATTATTCTCAAAGTCCACTAAAGTGTGTATTTTTTTCCTGACCATGGGAAAGTA